ACTTCCTCTTCAATTCTCACCTTCCTCTCCATAAAAAGCTTAAGTAAACAAAGCAACACCAAATCTAACTCTATCTTCATCTTCCAAACTTAAAATTCTGAACACCGCAGCTCAATTCAAGTAACACCAAGCCCACATTTGTTTGAAAGTATTGAACACGCAGCCCAAACTTTTAAATTTCTGAAATCTACACACAGTCCAAATTTAATCGAACACACAGCTCATATTTTGTTGAAAGCTTTGTTGAACACGAGCCCACATTTGTTGAAGATGAACACCAGCCCACATTTTCTTGAAAGTTGAACACGCGAGCCGAAACTTAAATTCTGAAAACACTAACAACACAGCCAAATTAATTAATTTATTTGATTGCCACACACCTAACTTCATACACACAGCTTTATTTCATTTCATTCTAAAACACTGAAATACATGTGCTTCATATGAATTGCCAGAAGCTTCCTCCGTGTTACACGGCGTATACGGTCCATGCTCCGAGAGTGTTATCCGGACTCCCCGGAGGCCGTCCCGATGGGTTGATCTAGAGTCCTCTAAGATTTGCCTTTTGTTACCAGGATATCTTCGCACAAGTTGATCCACTCTCTGAAACCCTCCACAATAGGAAACCCAAAGTAAAACTAAATTGAAGAGGTGAAACCCTAAATGATGATGAAGAAAACCCGAACCCCAAGTTTAACCCTGCACGAAGATGAAATCGTCTAAAAATCCATCAAGCACCTTGAAATCTAGTAAATTATTGTTTAAAATTGGCTTCAGATTTATTGAGATTTGTTTTGAAGATCTATTGAAATTACTTAAATTTGTTTAGATTGCTTTAAATTTGATTAAAATTGCTTGATTGTTACTTGTTGTTGACTGATTCTAATTAGGGTTTTTTTTTTTTTTTTTTTTTTTTGTTAATGGGGAATTTTTTTTTAAAAAAAAAAAAAAAAAAAAACAAAAAAAATTAGCAATTGCCAAATTTTTTAAAAATTTTGGTTATTTTTAAAAAAAAAAAAAAAAAATTGGTGAATTTTGTTTTTAAAAAAAAAAAATTGATCTATTTTTGGGAGGTTTTTTTTGGGAAAGGATGAGAAAGGGAGGGAGGGAATGAAAGAAAACCATTGGTTTTGGGTGAACTGGTAGATTTGGCAGCTGTCAAAACTGTTGCCAAATTTGACACATGATTTGGCAAATGCCAAATTTGACAGCTGTTATACCATGCCATTGGAGAACCCATTTTTGCCAAGCCTGACATATTATAGCTTTGACAGCTTTTTTAAAAAATCATTGGAATTGCTCTTATAGTATAGCAAATTTGACATTGCTATGAGCATCTTTAATAATTTACCATTAAGGTTGCCAAAACTAAAATATAACAGCTCCAAGCAAAAATTAGGTGTCCAAATGGTTGAAAATGACAAACGTCAGATGTGCCAACTTAACCAAAAGCCAACTGTTTCCTTCTCTCCTTCTCTCCCTCATCCTTCACAGCAAAACAAGGCCAAATTATTATTATTTTTCTCCAAATTCACCAAAAAAAAATTAAAATAGAAATTTGTTTAAAACATAAATTGTTTAAATTTTTTTTTAAACATAAATTGATTCACCAATTTTGAACAGAAATTAAGAAATTCAATCCAAATCTGAAGTAATCAACAGAAGCAATCAAGCAATTTAATTTTTTTTCAGATAATTTCAACAAATCTTAGGCAATCATAGCATCTATCTCACACAATATGAACAAAATTAAAGGGAATAAATACTTGGATTTCAAGTTTTTTTTCAATATTTCAGACAAAATCAGCGTCCACAGCTACTTCGTCTTCATCTTCTATGTTTTTCATCTTCATCTTCTCCATTAGGAAGTCGATTTAAATGAATGATTTCAAAGGTTTGGGGTTAGGGTTTGAAACTCGAAAAGAAAGACAGTCAAAAGCATAAATCGAAGACAATGGAGGATTGAGATGTGTGAGTGAGATAAAGACTCAGGGTAGAAGAGAATAAAGAAGGTTGGTGATAAGAGATAAAGATGGAGAGGAAGAGAGAGAGAGAGAGAGAGAGATGATTGATTCTTGCACAAAGGAAAAGAGGGATAAAGATGGAAAGAGAAAGAGAGAGTCGACTGGTTTTTGGTGAGATATGATCAATAAGATCTCGTTTGGCATGGGTCTATTAGGTTAATATAACAGGTTAAAAAATTAATAAAATAAAATATTATATTTAAATTATAATTTTTTTTTTTTTCCAGTCCCCAAAAGAGTGTAGTTGATGTGTTTGCATCTCTCAACAACTAGTTGGTGCTGATATCAACTCAGACCCTCATTTTTATTTACTACTTATCATATTTCTTTAATTTCAAGGTATGACTTTGTTAAGCAATCTCTAACCAATGAAGTACTCGAAACCAAAAAAACACAACCATGTTAAGTTCACCAGTACTAATCATATGGCAGTTGGCTCCCGCCATATTTAAAAACAAAAACAAAAACAAAAACAAAAACAAAAACAAAAAAAATTTGTGCAGTCTTTCCAACTTTCAAATATAAAGCCCCACTTGACATTTTTGAGCCCTCTACCATTCTTGTTCCTTCCAAAACTATTTTATTCATTCAAGTTCACCAGAAAATTCACCGGAAAAGTCAGATTCCGGCCACTGTCCCAAGATGGGTTTGACGGAAAGATCAAAGAAAAAGGTCCAATTATACAAGAAAGCAATAGTCCATTTCTTGTTATGTTTTGTCATGGGATTTTTCACCGGCTTCGCTCCAACGGGTAAGCCATCGTTTTTTTCTAGCCTTTCATCGACACGATCAGCATTTTCGCCACAACCCATAGAAATTGTGAGCGGGAGCTCCAACAGAACTCTATTGGATGAAACTCCAGTGGCAGAGCCAACATCAAGGTCTACTAATAATTCTGATGACTCAACTAGTGAAAAAATTCAGGAAGAATATAAAGAAGTTGATGAGTTGGTTACTAGAAGACTCATAATTGTTGTCACACCTACTAGTATGAAAGATCAGACAAGAGGTGTGAATTTGAGGCGGTTATCGAACACGTTGAGATTGGTTCCTCCACCATTGTTGTGGGTTGTGGTGGAGCAACAATGTGAGTCCGATGAAGTGTCGGAAATACTAAGGAAAACTGGGATTATGTATAGGCATGTGGTGTTTAAGGAGAATTTTACTGATGTAGAAGTTGAAATGGATCATCAGAGGAACCTCGCGCTTAATCACATCGAGCATCACCGGTTAAGTGGGATCGTTCATTTTGCAGGGCTTTCCAATGTTTATGATCTTAGCTTCTTTGATGAGATTAGAGGAATTGAGTACGTTTTTATCTTTTCTCTAGCTATGATTATCTTGTTTGGTATTTGTTTTCGTTTTACTTACTTTCATTTTTTGTGTTTCTCAAAACAAAAACATGCAAGAAGTTTAAAAATACACACCGTTTTCATTATTGTGAGAAAGTAGCTTTAAGATCATTCAAAAATAATTTTTTTGGGGTGTTTCAATGGGTTCTTTTCAGAAAATTTATCTGTGAAGTTTTTGAAATAGTTTGACAAAGAACTCTCTTTTTGTGTTTTTTTGAAGGACTAATTACAATTTTATTTGGGAGCCTTGTTTGATTTTAGTCTCCAATATTTAAGTTATATGTTAATTTGGGCTTTAATATACAAAAATGTTTTAATTTGGTCCCCAATGTTTAAATTATGTCAATCTGGTCTTAAATGTATAAAAAAATGTATCAGTTTTCAATTTAGTCGCTAATGTTTGTGTCAATCGGTCTCCGATATATAAACAAATATTTCAATTGCGTCTCCCAATTGCATCCCCTAGTCTAATTGGGGATCATATTGACACAATTTAAATATTAGAGGCCAAAATAACACAAGATTCCTACTTTGGAAATTAAAAATATAATTAATCATTTTCCAAAAAATGAACAGAAAACAAAAATGAAAGTGATACTTCAACTAATTTTTAATTTATCTCTGTTTATCTTCAAATCCAAGAGGGAGAGGAAAAATCAAGAGAGGTTGAAGATGAAATAGTGCAGGCTGGTGGGTGGAGGTTTCAAGGTTCCACTTATTGTTTGGATAAATATATTTTCAACAAAAGTAAGTGTCAGCTAATAATTTGAGTCCCCACAAGTCTACCAAACATGAAACTTTTAGTTACCAAATCACAATTAGGTTTGCCTAATTTTGTTGATTCTCAAAAGCTTCTTCTCTAAAGCTCATAACCACTAAGTTCTATTTAACTGCTGAAATTGAGAATTAATCAAATGGTCAGGTTTTCCGTTCTGTTTTGTAGGCAATATCAATTTGACATTAGGCAATTATTACATTTTATAATTACATTTAGATAAGGTTGTCACAAGCTGTTCTTTAGACATTTTATACATAAATTTTCAACAATTTTCTAAATATTTAGTTTTTTCTGTTTTTAATATGGCAATACTATACACATAAAAGTGTATACAAACAAGTTCTTATCTCATAAAATTAAACGTTTAAATAAGATTCATTCTAAGTATGATTCACACGATACCAAATTTAAATTTATGGCATACATATTATTTTCTAGACATTTTTTTGGTATCACTAACCATTACACCTTAAAGCAAAAACTAAAAATTTATAATTCATTCTTTACCAAATAGGAGTTTTTTTTTATTAAATATTCTATAAAAAAAAAATAATTTAAAGAATTGTTTTATTTTTCAAATTATTTGAGAAACTAACTTATTTTTTAAAATCGCACTTTGAATATACAATTTTAAATTAAAATTATATCTTCAACATGCAATTTCACATTAAAATCGCATGTTAAAAATATAATTTATGATGACATAGATTTTACTCAAATATATTACATTTTCAACATGTAATTTCAAAAAGTAAGTTAATTTCTTAAATAGTTTAAAGCATTATTACTGGAAGCTTTCAGTTTTTGAGAAATGTAATAGAAATAAGGGAAATGATTTGGAGCCCTAAAAACTTCCCTCCTAATCCCCCTAATTTCCAATATTGGCAGCTTTTTCCTTTATTTTTTTTTTTTTACTTGATATGGAAATTAGGGGGATTAGGGGGGATGTTTTTAGGGGGATATAGCATGACCCTAGAAATAAATAGGGTAAATTATAAATATATTCTCTAAGATTTGATTAAAATATGAAATGTATTATGTGATTTTGAAAATTATATTTTATCTCTTGAAATTTCTAATTTCATAACAAATCGTCCATTTTATTAATAAATTATCAAGTCAATCAACAATTTTTAATGATATTAAAAATATGTTTCAATTAATAATTTAGATAATTTTATTATTGTATAAGAGAGTAATTGTAAATTTTATTTTTTTTAATTAATTCTATTAAATAAAAAAAATATGATAAAAGAGTATTCATAATTTTTCAAATCACAAAAAATAATATATATTTTAAAAAAATCTTTAAAAAATATATTTAAAATTTATCTTACTTTTAAAAAAATCTTTAAAAAATATATTTAAAATTTATCTTACTTTTTATATTTTTTAATCACTCAATATATATTCGTAAGGTTCCTCCACCAATTACAATACCACGCGATGGTAAGAGACAAACCAATAACTTCTCCAACATAAGAACCCAAAAAAAAAAAAAAAAAAGTTCAGATTCAATTTTACAGAAAAACTAGAATCATATTCAGACGAGTTATATAAGAGAGAGAAACACACTTTCCGAGAGAAACACACTTTCCGAGAGAGAGAGAAAGAGAGAGAAAAAACTCAGAGATGGCGGCGCGTGTGATCACCGTCGCACACGACGGAACCGGCGATTACCGGACGGTGCAGGACGCAATCGACGCCGTACCGTTCAGCAACACTCGCCGGACGGTGATTCGAGTCTCGCCGGGGATATACAAGCAGCCTGTGTATGTGCCCAAGACCAAGAACCTCATCACTCTCGCTGGATTGCGTCCCGAAGACACTGTCCTCACTTGGCACAACACTGCCTCCAAAATCGATCACCACCAGGTACCAATCCCACTATTACTTTCGTTTTTTACAAATTCGATTGTTGAAATTGCTCAATCTAGGGTTTTTGATGGGTTTAATTGAGGTTTTTCCAGGCGTCTCGTGTGATTGGAACTGGAACGTTTGGGTGTGGGACTACTATTGTTGAAGGAGAGGACTTCATAGCTGAGAATGTCACATTTGAGAACTCTGCTCCGGAGGTAATGTCAATTTTTGAAAAATGCTTAGTTTAGATTTCTGGTAATTTAGTTTTTTATTTTTTATTTTTTTATGGGCATATTAGTTTTTGAGTTCGGATTTGCTAAAGTTGAAGATCTCAACTTCACTTCACTCGGACTAACTTCAACTCACTTCGGGTGAACTAAACAGTTCATCTTATACAATTAAGAAAATTATCTATGCAAAAAATCTAGCTGATCCAACGATTTATCATACTGTTAGATCATTTTTTTTTTTCTTTTCTATATAGCCTACATGTTTCTAAGAATAGATCATCCATTATATATATACGTGATTTATGTTTGATCAATCTAATTTTTTTTGCATGTATGTTTTTCTCAACTTGTCATATGAGATGAACGGAATACACCAACCTGTGAAGTTGAGATTTTCAATTTTAGCAAATCCGAACTCATTAGTTTTTCTAGTTGGTATGCTGAAATTGTAGTTTAAGACTGTGGATAGAGTGAAATTTCTACTTTTGTTATTGGCCTTCTTGCCTGAAAATGTGACTCTCAGTATAAACAATGCTTTTCAAAAAATTTGGCACAGGAGATCAGCAAGAATTTGTTTTGTGAATGACATGAAGTTTTATTCTCTGACATTCAACCATTTTTTTTTGTTTTTTTGGGACTTATTTTTTATTGTTGTATGTTATGTTATGTGGTATTTCTTTGATATGCTTTAATGGTTTGGTTTATGTTTCTTGGTAGTTGAAGAGTCACAATGTTGAAGTTTTTGGTTGAGATTTTTGGGTCAAGTCATTCGTTTTCTAACAATCTTTTCATTTTTATGGATTTTGGTCATAGGGTTCAGGCCAGGCCGTGGCAATTAGGGTGACAGCTGATCGCTGTGCATTCTATAATTGCAGATTTCTGGGTTGGCAGGTATACTTACTTTCTTGCTTTTATGACCAGTTACAGTAATAATGTCCTGCAAAAGAATTTATTCAATGGTAGCAATATCTTTACATTTTGGAAACAGTGTTTCTAGCCAATTAATATGGGATGTACTGTTGCCTATGTATACAGAAGCAAACTAAATTTTAAGGCAATTATGTTGAAAAGAATGGTTATCATCACTTCATTTGTTTGTGATCACACATAAGAGGTCTAGCCGTCTGCCTCAATCAAGCAATATAGCATCTTGAACAACTAATGGCAATTGTTTGCAAAGTGTTAATTCAATTTGTAACTGGATTGATCAGTGAAGCTGGCTTTAAACTTGACAGCATAGAAATGAATGAGAGCCTTGGAGTTTAGGATGTTTCTTCTTGACTAAAGAACTTACTCTGCAATAATTTTTATGCAGGATACTCTGTATTTGCATTATGGAAAACAATATTTAAAAGATTGCTATGTTGAAGGGAGTGTGGACTTCATTTTTGGGAATAGCACTGCTCTTTTGGAGCATTGTCATATTCATTGCAAGTCAGCTGGTTTCATAACTGCACAAAGTAGGAAAACTTCTCAAGAGACAACTGGCTATGTGTTCTTAAGGTGTGCTAGCTAACCACTCTTGGCTTCAAACTGAATCTGTCAGTGAACTTTTGGGATCATACATTGTGTTTATTTTCCTTTTCCATAAATTTTTAATTGTCAATGATTTTGGGTTTTTACACATTCATACTTATGTATTCATACTATACTAACTATGTTTTATATATATATATATATATAATTTAAAATTTAATGTTGCAGTAAATTGATAGGTAGTACAAAGGTTTTAGGCAAATAGTTGTTGATATGAACCTGAAATTCATTGTTATGATGGGATGGAGAAATATGGACCTATAGAAGAAGCAGAATGGTGAAACAAGTTTTCTTTGTTAAATCCATATTGTTATCTTGGATGTTTGACATGTTTGATTAACTCTTTTTTTAATGATCTGGATTGTTTATCTCAAAAATTGTGTTGGTTGGACTCTTTAGTTTTTTCCTTCCTACATTGTAGGCCAGAGTGGAGCTAGAGGATGTTGTGTTTCCCTTCAGTATCAATGATTGATTATCATACATTTCAGAATTTCAGTTGTTCTAACATTTTTTAGAATGAAAACAATATTTGTGATTTTGATATGATCTGTGTGCTTGCCTGTCACCGCTAGGATGATTCAATGAAAATTTTGGCTAATTTATGTATGCATTTCTAGAATAATTAAGATTTAAGAGTCTAAATCGTTTTTAGTTAGTTTCTCTTCCATCTTTTCCTTGCCCAAGCACCTTCGGTATGTATAATTATTACCTTGTACATGGAAAGTAATAATAGTAATACTTCCTGGTGGGAATTTGAAAATGTCCTGTCATATGGGAATGCTCACTTTGATTCTTGGTTCTCCTTGCAGCACGTAAAGTTTTAGGATAACTTCACCTTTTTTGTAGATGCTTCATGCTTTGAGAGCATATTATTCTTCCTTTTCAGCACGTAAAGTTTTAGTTAAGTATCTTTTTGTGGCAAAAAGCTCTTCTTACCGTAAAGGTGGTGTTGCTTCCATCTTTGAGAAATTAACTGGTGTTACATAATAAGTATGTTTTTTTGCTTTCTATGTTTTGTGTATAATTCTGGACCGGCATTCTTACGTCTTGTAGTTACACCACTTTGGTATAATAAAATTGAACAAGGTATTTTGAGAGACGTATTTTTAACTTTTTGGAGCACTTGGTAGCCTATTATTCTTGTCTCTGTCAGATTCAATATGTTTATCTTACCTTGGAATCTTGTATATTCTTTATTTATCTACTGGGAATCTATTCCTTGAGATATAACGTAAAGTGGGATGCTACTGTCTCTATCTCTTTCTCTCTCATACTTGTATATATACACGTAGGATGTGTTGTTTAAGCTTTTGATTGATACCCTCCTGGAAATTCATCTCTGAATGATATAAATGGAATAATTCATTTGAAATTATGAGTAGTTTATGCATTCTATTTTCTTTGGATTGCTTGATTAACCAGGAAAAGATCTTCACTATATTTGCAGTTACCTTGTTCCGCATATTTTTTCTTTTTAACTATGCCAAATGATGTTCTTTCCCCCATATTTTTCTTCTTTGACTTGTTTGTCATATTGAATCAGATGTGTGATCACTGGGAATGGCCGAACATCATACACGCATCTGGGACGGCCATGGGGACCATTTGGAAGGGTAGTTTTTGCATACACTTGGATGGATGCATGCATCAAACAAGTTGGTTGGAATAACTGGGACAAAGCTGAGAATGAGAGAAACGCTTGCTTTTACGAGTACAGGTACCTCATTTTCAGCCTTCCTGGGAAAGTTAACTTTGTAATGGACAATAGCGGATCGCATGCATATGCACGCACACAAAAATTTTCAATTTTTGAAACTGATCACACAGCTCTATAATTTGACTCCAGTGCATGGGTTAATAATACCCTGTCTTATTAGCTAAGCATTGACTTGGGAACCATCTTGTTTGGTTGAGTTTTCAAATTTTGTTTTATGTTTTTCTTTTTTCTTTAAAAAATTTAAAAAAATAAAAAAACCTAGTTTGACAAATGTAAATACCAAAAAAAAAATTAAATTATTTATAAAACAGAGAGAGAGAGAGAGAACCTTTGAAAATGATGAGTACAATTTCAGCCAAAATAATAAATACATAAAAGAGAATCATATGAAAACGATAAGTGCTTTTTATTTTTTCCATTTTAGTTTTTTTACCAAACTAGCATCTATTTTTTTTTTTTTAAAAAAAAAATAGAAAAAGAAAACCGATTCTAAATACCCAACCAATTAGTGCCGGTTGTCTTTGTCTTGTGAACAATTTATTACTTTTTATTTTTTTGTTAATTTGTATCTCCCCTTTGGAATGAACTCATTAAAGTTATGGTGGAAATTTTTTTGCAAGGAGCCATCCGCTGTAATTAAATAAAATTAGATAAATTGTAAATACATTTCTTGAAATTTGTTTAAAATACAGATTGTCCCTTATAGTTTAAAAAATTACAAATGCCCCCTTATTGGAATTTTTTATTTAACAGAAAAAAATGAAATTCATAATTGCTCTCCTATACAATAATAAAATTACCTAAATTATTAATTGAAACATATTTTTAAAATCATTAAAAATTGTTAATTGACTTGATTTATTAATAAAGTTGGCGATTTATTATGAAATTAGAAACTTTAGGGGGGGAATGTAATTTTCAAAACCACAATGGTGATTCGTATTTTAGTCAATCTCAGGGGCTATATTTGTAATTTATCCAAAATTTGTTACTATAAATTTTTTATTTTCAATTTGGTCTCATTGAAATGAATTAGCTGAAATTCTGGTGGAGAATTTTCATAATGGAGCCCAAAGTCTTTTTCCAGTTCTATTATTAAGTCTCTCTCGCATAGAATGCTATTTCTGGAGTCACCTTTGTTGTTTGATCTTGTTAAATTTCAGAATTCATTTATTTTGGGTGTTTTTTAATATAAAATACTGCAGATGTTTTGGGCCGGGTAGTTGCCCATCCAAACGGGTGACATGGGCGAGAGAACTTCTAGATGAAGAAGCAGGACAGTTCCTCATGCACTCTTTTATTGACCCAGATCCACAAAGGCCTTGGCTAGCCCAGAGAATGGCCTTGAGGATTCCTTATACTGCTTAGAAACTAATCGGATGATCAGATGCATGAGACTTCCAGATTATAATCAACCACACGAGGTTTCGTATTACATTCTATGTCAGTTGAATAAAGCTTGTTGAGTGATTATTCCAGCATTTGGTTTGTGTAATCCTAGACGTGAGATAAATTAGTTGATGTTAGCCAATGAACTCTTTACCTGCAGATAAAGTTGTGATCTCCACTGATTACTGAATTTGTGTATGTTTAAGCAGCAAACGGCTAGGCTTTTGTTAAATTTGTTGATGTTACAAATATGTGACTTTGGACATGTATGTAATTCTTCAAGAAGCTAGAGTTACGTGCATTGGCTGTTGTAGATGGCCAATACCCAAATTATAGTATTACAGAACAAAAGTCAATAAAAAGTATTTTTAGGTCTCGTTTGACAAGTGTGTTTTTTAGTCAAACAGTTAAAAAATTATTGAAAAATTAAAAAGTCAACAATTTATATAAAAAAGTAAAAGATTTTTTTTTTTATATCTCTTCGTAAAAAATTAAAAAATTATTTTAAATATATTAATTTTTTTACATTATATTTTAATCAAAAAATTAAAAAATTATTAAAAAATCTATTTTAGATGAGGCCTTAGTAGTCATAAAAAAATGAATTGATTTTGACAGTAAACGTTTTCCTTTGTTAAGAAACGAAATTTTAGTTTATTTATTTAATTGGACAAATAAGAGTTATAAACATTCACGCCAAACAACACAAGTAGGGCTGTTGTCTTGTCACTATCACCAACTACCATCACTATCATGGTCACCGCAATCAACCCACACCACAAACCCGATCATAAATCTGGAAATAAGGTACTGCTGTAAATTATGTAACAACAATGATTAGAAAATGTGGTGCACTAATAATTTTGTTCATGGGGTCCACTAATAATTTTGTTCTTGTTAGATAACATAACTAGGAATAGCGACGGTTGGGGCAAGACCAGAAATTACACTCCTTATTTTTTATCCTCGAAAGTTAAAAAATCTGTCCCTGCCCTAGATTCTTGACCCTAGATTCTTTACGGAGAATCCATCACCTCCTGCGCTTGCTCCTTAACAGAGATCGGGTTTTCTTAATTCTGAAAAATTTTCAATCCTTTGTTTTTTTGTTTTTTTTTTAATTTTGTTTAACACAAGAACAACAAATAAATTTAGTAGGTGTTTGGAATGCACTAAAAAAGTGTATTTTTTTGTATATATACATTTATTTGGGTCACATCAATTAACATCTCTTTTTTTATTTTTCTACTCACTTTCTCTACTTTTCTACACATTTTTTTAATAAAAAGTCAAAAAGTACACTTATTTAGAACATTTCAAACCACCTCTTAATTTGTTTTCAATATGTTTCATCGTCATCATCAAAAATCATCATCAATAACAATCATCAACAATTAAAAAAAAAATTAAAAAAAAAAAAAAAAGAAGAAGAAGAAGAAGAATAGATATGTATAAATCAGTGGTAGATATGTTCATCAACAACAGCTAAATATTTGTTCATTGCGTGCGCGCGCGCGCGCACACACACACACACATATATATATATATATATATCAGATCTAAGAAAACCCTAACAACAAAAAAATTGAGCAGATCTTAACAAAAAAAAAAATTTGAGTTGTTCTCATAAATCAGATCAAAGAGAGAAAGAAAGATAGATCATCGTTGAAACTTTAGATCAGATTTTCAAAATTTCAGATCTCACGACTAGTGGTGGTGGTGGATTTGGATCTTGCGACTGAGCAGCTCTGACGATGAAGGTTCAGTTAGTGGTGAAAGAGATCATCGGATTCAATAAAAATGAGGTAAGATGGTTGTGCGTGTTCGGTTCGAAGTAGAGAAGATGAGGTTGCAAAAGCGAATAGGAGATTGTTGCTGCGAAGGTGGTAGTCGTGGCGATTGGGCGACTACAGAAGTGGTGGTTGGCGAGAAGAGAGATAAAGGGGATGAGGGGAGAGAGAGAGAAAGAGAGAGAGAGATGAGACTATCTGAGGCTTGTGTGAGGTTGTGTTAGGGTTTGATTTATATATATATGGGTATTATAGTAATTTCAGTTTGAGAAAATAGAGATGGGGATGGGAACGAAGACAAAGACGAGGATGAAGATGGGCTGGGAACAAGGTTGGGGCTGGGGCTGGGGAACGTATTTCCATCCCTGGTCCAAAAATTGTCGGGGATTCATATTCGAATACCATCCTTGGCCCGTTAGAGGTATTTTTCGAGAAAAAACCATTCTAATCGGGGCCAGGTCCCTATCAAGCTGGGTTCAAATTGCCATCTCTAAATATAACATTTATGTTAGTACTCATGAAATTTGTTGAAAATATGAATTACTTTTTATAATTATGAAAATTATAAATATTTTATTATTAGAATTTGTCATTTAACAAAATTAATAGAAAAAATATCAATTATTTGTATGTAATTAAAAACTTTGAATGTAATTTCAAGAACTATGAAGAATAATTAAAATTTTAAATAAACTTTAAAGGTGTATTTGTAGTTTATCTAATATTCAAAAAAAAAATGTTATTAACCTATTCTTATGAACTCATAATCTACCCCCAAATGTATTTGTCATATAGAGATTAAATTGATGAAATATGTGATTAATGAATAAAATAAATTTGAATCATTAATTATTATTTTTTTTAGATAAATTCTGAATTAATAAAAGTGAATTTGTAGGATTGTTAGATATTTTAAAGGGAGAATTTAGTTAAAACTCCTTCATTGGACCCTTATTTGGTGAAAATGACAGTCTAATTTATTTTTATTACCCCTAAGCAGAAAACACATAATTGAGTAGGAAAATTTAGTCAAAACCCTTTCATTGAACCATTGTTTGATGAAAAGGACAGTCTAATTTATTTTTCTTCACAGACCCCCTAAGAAAAAACAAATAATTGAGTAAAGACAATATATATATATATATATATATATTTTATTTTGTTGAACAATATTACCAGAGTAACATGTTATTATGAATCATAGTAATATATTACTGTCAAATAGAGTAATTGTCAAGCAGACTAATATGTTACTGGAAGGCAACATGTCACTGTCAAACAGAATAACATGTTAATGTTACTGTTACTATTTACATCAATTTCAACGGATATAATTTTCTTTTTAAAAAGAATTTCGTAGTTAACATGGATTTCATTTGGTAGGTCGTGATGAAAGAATTTTAAAAATATTAATGTTATTAAAAATTGGCATCTACGTCAAAGGTTATATTATTTTAAAATTTAATATTTTGATAATAGTGATATTTGTTAGACTTTTTAAGGAAAACTTTTTATACTTATTTTTAATATATTAAAATTTTATTATGAAGAGATTTTGACAAAATCTCCCTATTTTAGGGTTCGTTTGAGATGTGAGTTGACTTTTTTTTTTGACTTTTTAGCTATTTTAGCTTGGGTTAAAAAGTCTCGTTTAGGAAGAATTTTTGATTTTTTAAACTTTTGTGAGAGAAAAATAAAATGATTATAATTTGAATGTGATATTTTATCTTATTGAACTAAAAAACCTATTTTATTTTTTTGTGATTAAAATAACCAAAAAAATCCCAAGTTTTTTCTTCCCAAGCGAACCCTTAAGGCCCCGTTTGTTTGGAGTTATAGGGAGAGGATTGGGTTTGATAGTGAGGAAATGATTGAGAATGGAGTGTTTGTTTTGAGAGATAGGGAGGGGACTAGTAATCCCTTGGGACTAGTAAGGAGGAGGAAGGGGGATTGGTAAGGAGGAGGTAAAGATGATATTAGAAAAATAGTGAGGGAATTAGAAATTTTTTTATTTTTTTATTTTTTATATATTGAGAATTTTTTTTAAATATTAATATTTATTAATATTTATATTTTTTATTTATTTTATTATTTTATATAAAAATAATTTAATAATTCCTCACTAACAATTTCCTTACTATTAATCTCTTTCATTCTATCTCTCGAAACAAACAGGACTTAAAGGTCCAACTAGCAAGGCACTAGGCTAGGCATATGCCATGGCAAAGTGGTAATAACAAGCTCATGTGTTTGCGTTTACTTGGTCAGTGAGGTCGGTACTTGTAACCACCAACAGATCAGATAAATCTAGCGCCAAATTACACCTCCCTCTCTCTTTCTGTCTCACTCATCACTCTTACTTTACTTTCCCTTTTCCTTTATGCTTTAGAAATTCTTCCATAGCAATGCCTCTGCAACAACAGTGACAGAGAGAGAGAGAGAGAGAGGGAATGGGTGAGGATGTGATGGGTTCGTTGGTTCGGTCCTGCAATAAGAGGTGGTTAGTTCAATTAAGCGGTGGGGAGTGGAAGGGGAAGCAATTGAGCTTTCGAAATTTGAAACCCCGTGAGCATCTATTGATGGTAGAATCGAAATCACGATCGCAAATGATGATGATTACGAACCAGATGGTGAAACCCACTACTTACTCCTCCAAAATCATCACCGACATCCCTCTCTCCGAGTCCCCTGCGGTTCTCTCTCTCTCTCTCTGTCTCTCTGTCTCTCTCTGTTTGAATTGGATGTTAGAAGTAGGTGGTTTTGTTTTTTCAGGCTTCTTTCGATCAGTATTTGGATGATAAACCCAGAGTTTTTAATGCTATCTTTCCTGATAAACGAAGAAGCCAACAACTCAATGAGGTCTCTCTCTCTCTCTCTCATGTGATTGAACTAATGTGGGTAGGCCTAAATTAAGCTATTTGCATCATGGCTTTTTCATTATATGGATGAATCAGAAATGCTATGTGCCCAGGAATTTTTTTTTAAAAAAAATGCTCAGAATTTAGCTATTTTCCTGAGTAGGTTCAGGACTACAACCCAGGAAAAAATAATCAGAAGACTGTCACCGGAAAAGTGTTTAGAATTTGAATGTATGATAGATTTAAACTTAAGTGTGGTGTTCGCCATAGGTATTATGAATTTTGGTTAGAATTTTTGGAGGCATCTAACTCAAAATCAATTGGCTGTACATGGAGAGGCCCTTCGACGATATTAAGTAAGCTTGGATGACTTAGAGAAGGAATGTAGAATAAATTTCTAATAAATCTGTTTCACACGTTTCAAATTTTGGATTTTTGGATTTTTTTTTGTTTAGAGGGGGGCTGTTGGGGGCTCATATGTAGCAGTGTTGGTGATAAATATGATCTTAACAAAGTTCATTGCAGTCCTCATACTTGATGGTGTGAAACGGATTCTGTTGCTTTGCTAGCCTTTCTTTACCGAAGTGTATTTTTTGAACAACTGTTTGTCTTGATCCTCTTCAATGCTCTACAAGATTGGATCTAAATAAAAAAAATAAAAAAATAAAATGCTCTGATCATCCTATCCAATGGATGTGGGGTTGGGGAAAGTTTTACAGTGTGTATTACTGAAATATTGATTTCCAAATGGTGAAATTCTTGAGTTTTTTGTAGTACTGAATTTGAAAAGGTATATTTTAAGCTGGGCATGCTGATATTTTCTCTAAAAGAATGTGTGGTATAACTCCTTTTTTGAATAGCAGAAATTGATTTTTGTAGCCTTCTTTGAGTACTTAGGTTACATTGGTTTGACACCAATTCAGTTCAGGCTTGTTGTGTGCTGTTTAGTGCATACATTTGTCCCTCCCTAGACCCCACAGTGGTGGGTGCCTTGTGCACTGGGACTGCCTGTCAAGACCAGAGACTTCTACTAAACCCTAGATTTCTGTTTTAGCATGCCATCTTCAGTTAGAGAGAGGTCTATCTCTATCTATGAGTGTTTGTCTGAAGACTGATATTTTTGTGTACTTATTCAATGCAGGAAGAGTGGAGAATACAGATGTTACCTATACATTTCCTGCTCTTGACTGTCTGGCCAGTAATAGACATGAGGTTGAGATGTAAATCAAAAGGAATTGATTACCCCCCTGGCGTTCCTCGCGATATCACAAAGGTTGTCGAGGTTGAAATTGTAAGTCTGCGAAAGAAAACTGGCCAATGTTTACTATTAAGCTGTTTTCATGAATTGGTTTCTTTGTTCTTAACCCCCTTTGCAACAAACATTGCAATTTGTTCTTTTATGTAGATAAGGTGGGAGCTCCAAGGCCTAGATGACTTTCTCAAGCCATCTGAATTCACCCTTGGCGTTAAAGGAGCCTTGTATTCCGATAGGCGGGAATCACTAAGCCGGCTGAAAATTCAATTAAAGATGAGCATAAGCTTTGTTCTCCCTGCTGTCCTTGCTTTGGTGCCTGAAGATGTTCATCGAGGCATTGTAGAATCGGTTAGACTATAAAACCCATAGTCACTCTTCTTTAATTCTAAAATGTTACATAATGACCAAAAAGAAATGAGAGTAGGACCTTTGCATTTTATAAATAGGTGCTCGATAGATTGGTGGAGAACGCAAAGCATAGAGTTAATGGTAGCTTATTGGCTGACTATAGCGAGTTCAAGAGGGAGAAACTCAATGCTATATTTTGAGGTTGTTGCTGCTTGCTCTGGTGTGACAGATGCACAAGTTCATGCAGTTGCAGATGCCTAAAGAACACAGAAAACCTTGTAAATTTGCTCCTCTCAATCTTTAAAGCATTCACAATCTTTTGTGGGAGTTCTTGAAGAGATGGTCACAAAAAAAAGAAAAAAAGAAAAAGAAAAAGAAAAAAAAAGTAGAAGAAGTTTGCAGTGTGACGGCAGTTTTGGCACTTCAAGGATATGGAATTGTTAGAAGTTGTATTGTTGTGTCAACATTTTGAACTTTCATTGCATTGTGGAGATTAATTCTCACTCTAAAAACGATGTGTTAGTTTAAGTAAATGCTATGATAATCCCATTGTTACAACTTTATTTGATTAATGGGTCTCTCCTCTCATGTCTATTATTGTTGTGGCAGCTCAAATTTTTTTTATTGATGGAGTTATTGGAAAAATTGAACACAAATTCTCAAATTATAAACTGAAGAAGATCTTAGATGGGGTTTGGCAATTTTAAAAAATTGATGTATTTGGTAATTGTTAAAAAAAGTTACTTTTTTGTTATGAAATTTTTATTTTTATTTTTTTTTCTTTGAGTCTTTTCAAACTTTAGCTTTTAAGTGAGAAATTAACATATTATTCTTACGGAGTTGTTTGGGATATAAATGTATTTTTTTGATTTTTTGACTAAAAAAGTAGAGAAAAAAAATATATGTTTGGGATAATTTTTTGTCTTTTTACGAAAAAATGTGTAATAAAATATTGTAGCAAATATCAAAATTACTGTTCTAGCTTTCCTAACACATGCAGCAGCACTGTTTTCATTCTGTGCATTTCAATTTTTTTTAATGGGAATTCGTGACTTACTGTAGACACTCCATTTTTGACCGTCCTCAAGACTTGGACGTCACCGTTTAAACACTCGGTGATCATCCATGTTCGTGTTCGTTTTGAGTTCCCAAAGGTCTCGGCTACGCGCCTTGCCTCAGGATTTCTCAACTCGGTTGTCTTGTGCTTGGTTAGACCAAACACTTGTTGGTTTTTGCTTTGGAAGGTAGAGAATGGCTTGTTGGCCATCCCCACGCCTCACCGGCCATGGCTTGAGGCCACCGGCCGTGTCTTCTTGCCACCGGCCATTAGTGATGGTCGGTTGGTAATTTGTGTGGTCGGCCGACCATTAATTTGGCCGATGGACTCCTTTTCTGGCCGGTACCACCTTTTTGCCTTTTTCAGGCATTATGCATGCCAGCTGTGCCAGCTAGAGTGCACGGATTTGTCCTCCATACAGGTGTATGGAGGAATTGCACCATTTGCACCTTTTTGGTCCTAGCTTTCTCAAGAAGCTTGAACCCTTTGCTCAAGCTTCTTGAGGAAGCTTGACCCTTTGTCTTAGCTTCCTCAAGAAGCTTGGACCTTTGGGTTAGCTTCCTTGAGAAGCTTGACCCCCTTGACCCTTTTGTTTAGCTTCCTTAGAAGCTTCAAGCCTTCATCTTGCTCTATATAAGAGGACCTTCCTCTTCCTTTGAAGAGGTTCAACAAAACCAAAGATAATACATATATATCTGATATATAAACCACTCTCTCTCTATATCCCCCTCTCTCTCTTCATTTGTCTGTGTTTGGGAGTTCAAAAGTGTGTTTTGTTCTTAGTTTTGCACTAGAACACATAGTATTACACCATAGTACCACTTTTTTGCCTTTTCAGGTATTATGTATGCCAACTGTGCCAGTTGGAGTGCACGGATTTGTCCTCCATATATGGAGGAATTGCACCATTTGCATCCTTTTGGTCCTAGAAGCTAGGACCCTTTGCTCAAGCTTCTTGAGGAAGCTTGACCCTTTGTCTTAGCTTCCTCAAGAAGCTTGGACCTTTGGGTTAGCTTCCTTGAGAAGCTTGACCCCCTTGACCCTTTTGTTTAGCTTCCTTAGAAGCTTCAAGCCTTCATCTTGCTCTATATAAGAGGACCTTCCTCTTCCTTTGAAGAGGTTCAACAAAATCAAAGATAATACATATATATCTGATATATAAACCACTCTCTCTCTATATCCCCCTCTCTCTCTTCATTTGTCTGTGTTTGGGAGTTCAAAAGTGTGTTTTGTTCTTAGTTTTGCACTAGAACACATAATATTACACCATACTTCGGTTCTTGAGGTGTTAAGAGATTGTTCTTGGAGGTTTTGGGTTGATTTTGATCAGAAAAAAGGGGCTGGACTTGCTGTTCTTCAAGGGTGAGTATAGTTGCTTTATATTCCCCATTCTTGCACTAGTTTTTAACCTATCTTGCATGCTGATTTAAGCTCTGTGTATAACTGAAAAAAGTCTTGTATTTGCATGCTTAAGATCTTTCATTAAGGTCTCTTTTGTGTTTGGGGTCGACCTCCCCCTCTTAGGCCTTATTTGGCCCCCTTTTGTGCCTTCTTTTGTTGAGCTTTGGAACCTTTTGTGTATTGGCCTTCTCACTACTGAAATCCAGTGGATTTTCAATGGTGGTGAAAGGGTCTTGAAGTCTTACATAGGGGAGGGACACCCCTCTCCCTTGGTCTCTCATTTGTTCATTTTTTTTGCTCACAAGGGTAGCATGCATGCTTAGTTGTTTTTTGCTCCATTTCAGAGATTTTTGGATGTTATTTGGTCATATTATATCACTGTTTTTGGTCGAATTAATGGTCCATTTCATGCATTATATGCTTGCCTTGTAATCTCATGTTTTGATCTAATATGTATTATGTTATGAGATGACATTCTAGTATAATTTTGGTTTGGTTCCAAGAAGGTTTTAGCATTATTTGACCATGCTTAAGGTCTGTTGGGTACTGGGCCATGCTTGCCATGATTTGTATAGCCTCCATACATTTTGGCTTGTGAGCCTTGGGTGTGTGAGTCATAAGCATGCTTTAGTTAGGCTATTTCAATGATTTGGAGTCACTTATTTTGCCATTTCAGTTCATGTTTTATGCTTACATAATTGCATTTGTTACCCTTTCAATGCCTTGAAGAGATGTGGTCTTATGTTCCATGTTTGGGGCTTTTGTGCATGCCTATGTGTTTGAGGCTTTGGGCTGCCATATCAGAGGTTTTTGGGGCTCATTTTTGCATGATAAAACTCTGTTTTGCATTGGAAAATCCATGCCATGTTTGCTTGGGGTAGGTGTTGAGTAATGCTTTCTTTGTGGCCTTGAATGTCTTCTATCTCGCACCCATTCCCTAGCATGTTTTGGCATCATCCTTTGCATGCTTTTTAGAGTTTAACATGAGTGCTTAATGTCCATTTTTGTCACCTTTGAGTGTTCTTGAGAGTTGCCTTTCATGCCTTAGTCTTAGGCCCTTCGATTGGCATGTTTATTTTGCATGATTGGCACCATTATTTTAGTATTCTTGGCCACTGTTTTGGGATGGGCTGAGGCCTTCCCATCTCGGTTTAAGTCCATCTTTGTATATAATCGCACGTTTGATCTGTTGCATTGCTTTGGTATCACGCTTGCATTGTATCATATTTGCACATTTGCATATTGTTTAGCTAGTTGCATTTCATATCCTAGCTTGCATGATAGATTGCATGGTATTGCATCTTGCATGTTTGGCACATTGCATTTGGCATGTTCATTACCTTAGTCCCATATGGCATACTTGAGCTACTTCGCATGTTTGAGCCATGTTGCAAACATGCATTACATTTTGCTTGGTTTGGGGTGTCAAACCAAGCAAAAGGGGTGAGGTGTGTTCGTACTCCAAGTGACGAAACACATCTCAACCCTCGGTCGCCGATGCCCTTGATCTCAACATGATAGGGCATGAGGCATTCATTTGTTTTGTCGTATGCATTTACATTGATTTGCAAGCTTGGTGCCTTTGGCCATCATGCATCGAAATGCATGATTGGTGGCCCGAGGACCAAGGGCCACACTCCCTTGAGTCCATAACATGATTGGGAGAGTGACTATGCACACATTGCTTTGAAATTTCCATGCCATGCACTGTCTGTCCTCTGCTGCTGTCAAAACAGGGTTCTGCAGGAAGGAATGGCCGGCCGGCCACTTACAGTGCCGACCGGGTACCAAAGTCCAGCCGGTGGTTCAATTTTTGGCCGATGGCTACATTCTCATAGCCGGTAATGCTCTATCATGGCCGGTGGCATCCCACAACACTCAGGGAGTTATTCAAAAGGGTCTTGGAAACTTTCATAATTTTCAGAGGAGTAAGGCAGTGTAAACAGAGGCAACAATGGCATGGGACCGGGTTTCTGAGCAAGGTGCGTCAAGCATGCATCATCCACACATTCCGAGGCAGAGCTGCGGCGGTCTCTTTAGTTTCATATTTAGGCTTTTTTTTGTAATTAATTTGTTAATTAATTAGAAGTTTTGTAATAATTAATTAGCTAGAATAGTTAATTCATTATTCAGCCTGTATTATTATTTCAGACCCTCCGAGCGAAGGCAATTGTGTAATAAGTGTACGTGCGTGCGTGTCTTCCAACCCCATTTCTTTCTCTCTTTTACTTACTTGCTTTCAATGGTTAGTATTAGGGCATATTTAAATTAGCATACCTTATGCTATGCATGCGTGCATCATTCATCAGTATTGCATGCACCGAGCTCGGCGCATCATGCTAACTGTATAGTATTTCAAATCTAACTTGAACATATGTTATCTGTCACATTTCACATGCCATCCATAGATTAGCTGAGCCTATTCTAGTGACATTTTGTATGCAATGCATTAGCCACTTTAACATGAACTAGGATCATGCATGATCACTAACTAGTTTCTTGTTTTGGCTTGGAGTACACTGTGAGTGTTTTTATGCTTTAGCATCTCGCATGAGTGTGAATGTTAAACATGACAGCATGCTTACCATGTGGCTATATGCTTATGTGATATAAACTGTCTGAATGCCTGTGGGTGAAGGTTGGATTGTTTGAGTTGGAACAACTCATTGAAATTCGTGTTTTAGCTTACTTGCGAGTAGCAAATTTCAAATTATTTTTCAACCAAACGGATATGCAATACTTTGTTCCAAATTAGACGATCTAGTCTATACTTTTTGTGTTGTGCACATCACATAGTAAGATTAGGCTAATAACCGGAATAAGAACACATAACATTTTCAAAACTATATATCATGGTTAGTAGAGGCCGATCTTCGGATCGGGCGAGCGGGGTGCTCATAGATGACCTTCCCCAATCGTACCCAAGTTCTTGAGCCGAGGTAACTTTGGTGATGACGAACACGTGGCCTTAGGCAACGAGTCAGGGTTTCCTAAATTCTCCCAAAATAAAATATTTAGGTGGCGACTCTGTATCTGGCAAAGCAGTCCATGTTTGGCACTTCTTTCAAAAAATCTGTTTTTAAAAATGATTTGCCAAATCTGGACTCTTTGGTT